CCTTTCCCTTCCCCCACTCCCTTCAACGCAACAGAGGATCCCTAGGGAGCTCTATGACTAAGCTTTGAGAGGGGGTTATTTGAGGGAGGGGAGGGGGCAGGGGAGACCAGCGGGAACAGGGCGGGGAGGGGAGGAGGAGGGGGATCTGTGTGTGGCACTAAAAGGACTGGCACTGCACACTGGCCCTCTCTGTACTCGCTCCGGGGATGTCTCGTGCCGCACCACCACACGCCACGCACCACCATCATCACACAGAATCATATTCATCACTGCCTCTCTCGAGAACATCGCTGCCACATCGCTTTCCTAATAGCTGTCACAACACATCATCTGTCGCGACGTTAGTGTAATTATAGCCATGGTAAAGACAGGACTTCCTTCCCTTCGCAGCGGCGCCAGAGAGGGTCACACTGCGTAATCAGTCTGGCACCTGTGACTCACACACTCGCCGCGCCGCCCTCTCTGCCTTTCCATACGGTTCACATACTTAACATACATAGTACGCATACCCTTTCTCTCATTTTCTCTCTCTCTCACTCCATACCCCTCTCTCCCTCACACATACACACACATTTGCATTTCAGTACACACGTACACTCAAACATGCACACAGACCAAACAAGCTTGACAATCACTCACGTATATCACAAACAACCACGCCATGAAATCAGGAAATATATGTTCTTTTGTATTTATTTATTTTTTCTTTTCTTTTTAAGATCGAGTGACATCCTTGAGACGTCCTACAAGTGGCGATGTACCAGGATACGCTTCCTTCAGTACACAATGGACCCTCTGGCAAAATATAGGAAAGAAATGTAAAATCAAATGTAAAAAGGGAAATGCTGGACTGGGTATTTTCCCTGGGAAATACAAAATCCTTTTATATGCAAATTAGTCAGCGCTCCAATTGTCTCGTGCTTCTTTCACCTCAAAATGTCGCCAAGAGCATTCGCAAAATAGAATCACCGTATGCAAGTCATGGCTCTTCAGTAAAGAACATGAAGAACAGGACATGCATTATTCAGGGGAATCCAATTTCTGTGGCAGAAAGAATAGTTAAACAAACAACCATTGTTAGTCATTTTCCGCGCATCCTGGTCGTCTGTCTGTCGTCCCCCCCCCCCTCTTATATTTCTCTTTTCCACTCATTCTATCTCTTCTTTCTTCCCATTGCTCTTTGTCGGTATATGCCTCTTTCTACATAATTTTCATAATCGATGTTGCTTTCAAACTTTAATGACTATTATTATTACCATTGTTATTACCATTGTTAGCGATTTTCAATATTGATATAATTACCATCACTATCATTACTGTCGTTATTATGAATAGCAATATTATCAATTTGCTGATCTTATGATTATCATAATCCTTACTGTTACTTACATTACTAACACCGTCCTGAATTGTCTATTCCTTAATCATCACGATCATTATAATCTAATCTTTAATATCATTACAATTATCTTATCTAATATCACTATAACAGCTAGTAATTTCCCTGATCATCATAGTCATTATCATAATTGTCTATAGGTGAAAATATTAATTCTATCATAACTATCGTTGTTACTACTATCAATATTGCTATTAGCATTGTTAATACTGATACCAATATCATTATCGTTCTCCTCCTCATTACTAGTATCATTATTGCTATTATTACTATCATAAACATTATCATTATCATATCATCATTATTATCATTATTGTCACCATTATCATAATCACTACTACAATCATTATCATTGTTATTATTACAATTTTTCATTATCATCACCCTAATTCATATCATTATTACTATTATTACCATTATCATCGTTATCGACAGTATCACCATTATCATCACAGCCATTACTATTCTCATTTTAATTATGGTTACTAGTGGAGTAATACTGATGTTATGATCATTATCATCTCAATAATGATATCGGGCAAAATTCTCATTTTAATTGCTATAACTATTATAACTGCCATTATCAATATTGCTTCTATTATATTACCATCACTGCCAACATTGTGTCAAACAGATAATAATTAACAATATATAAAAATCACAAAGGTACTTACACGTCATCTTTCTCGCTACTGATAAGATCGAGTAAAGAAGAGGTGGTGTTATCTCATGTGATTAATATCCTGTTTTACAAGTATTCACAGATAAATCCAAAATCACAAATAGTATACGCATTACCTCTCATATCAGAACATACTGGTACTCATGCCAAATAATCCGTGTAGAAAATACTATTGATACTTATTGATCTTCATATTGTAGCTGCCAAATCAAATGTCAATTTCATTAATAATTTCACTGAAAAACAATTCATGTTCCCATAATAAACCTAAAAAAAGAAAGTTCATGATGATATGGTGATAAAAGTAGCAACATGCATTATCATTGCTTGTTATTATTATTAATATTATCATTATCATTGCTGTTGTTATTACTGTCATTATTGTTATCATAATTATCATTGCTATATCATTATTATCATCATAATTATCATTATTACTATATCAATTATTATAATCATCTTAACTATTACTACCATTACCGACGTTATTATTATAGCACACTTATCACTATCATTAGCATAGTAGTAATAATAATAATAACAATGATAATGATAATTTTATAATCACCATTTCCTATTATCATTATAATAACCATTACTATAATTATCATAACAACTATTAGCATCAATATCATCTTTATCATGGCCATTATCATTACTAGTACTATTACTACTGTCATCATCATTATTATAATAATTATTATCAATATTAGGGCTATTATTGATATTATTATCATTATCATCTTTATCATTTCATTATCATTGTCATTAATATCATTATCATCGTTATCGTATCACTATTATC